GAACACCAGTAACCAAATTTTTTTTTAAAAAAAGAGTTCCAATTTCTCCACATCCTTATCAATACTTGTTATTTCCTTTAAAAAAAAAAAAAAAGTCTTGCCGTCCTGGTGGGTATGAAGTACTATCTCAGTGCGGTTTTGATTTGCATTTCTCCAAATGACTAACCATGTTGAGCGCCTTTTTAGGTGCTTCTTGGTCATTTGTGTGTCATCTGTGCAGAAAGGTGTCTTCCAACGCTTTGCTCATTTTTTAAATTGTTTTCCTTTTTGTTGTCAAGATATAGGCATTCTTTATATTGTCAGGATCCTAGACCCTTAGTAGTTACATGATTTTAAAAGATTTTCTTTTCACTTTATTGGTAATGCCTTTTGAGGCACAAAGGTTGTTAATTTCAATGAAGTCCAATGTGTCTCTTTTTCTCTTGTGCTTTTGGTGTCATACCTAAGAATTCACTTCAAATCTAAGGTCTTGAAGATTTACCTCTACTTTTTTCTTAAAATTGTATTGCTTTAGTGCATATATATATATGTGTGTGTGTATATATATACACACACATATATATATATCATTACAAACGAATTTTCTCCCTAAACTTGTCCTTTCCCCACCAAGTATTTTTGTTTTCTGCGAAGCCCGCAGCAGTTGGATGTGTCCCCAGCCAGCCACACTTGGTTAAGGTCTCCCCCACTATCTTCCACCACCCACTGCTCACTCCATCATTTTCCCCAATTGAAATCTCTGCCACATCCAGTTCTGTGGGTTTCTTCTCATGCCACCTGTACCCGAACAAAGAGCGCTACCTGGGCTGCTTGCGGTTGGCTACAGCATTGTGCCGCTCCCTGGGACACCTCAGGAGCCACACTCAAATGGTAGGTGATGTCAGAGGTGGGAGAGGCGTATTTACGGCTCCCAGGGCCCACGTGAAGCCGCACCCTGCTGCACTCACACCATTCTGCGCCGGCTCGCCATGCCGGCGGTGGGGGAGTGGAAGCGGGCAGCAGCGAGCGGTGGCCAGAGTGAATTCCAGCTTCTCTTTCCCCAGAACAGCCCCGGCCCACGGCCGCCATGTCCTGGAGCTGTCTAAAAGTGCCTCATAAGTACTCTGTTCTGACCTGTCCCATCCAAGGGTTCCGTCCCGGATCAGGCCACCTCTGAGGCATTTAAACTAATCTAAGATTAGTCACAGAGCAGTTTAAAGTTTTTGCGCTGTAGAAGAATACAAGATCATCTTCTCACTACAGAGTTCAAACGGCATCTCCCATGTCACTTGAGAGAGCTTTTTGGCTAGTGGATGTATGAAGGATCCTGACTTCGCCTCTATTTTCTCCAAGTTTATTAGGCAGTTACATAACTATCCAGTCTGCTGCCTCCACACTCTAATAAAGATATAAATTACCACTGTTGATGACATTTTATTTCTATTTTTCATTACATGTTCTTGTCTGATCTTCATTCACTTGGAGATGCTGGTGAATTTGGAGGAGGAGGGAGACATTATACCTGACCTCCATTACTTGACACTTCCTTTTCAAAAATCCTTTGCAGTTTCTAAGCTTTCTTGCTGTGACTACGTGCTCTGCTGTGTTCCTTGGTCACGTGCAACAAGAACAGTGGTAATCGTTTGTATTATTTGTATTAGGAGGGTGTGCTTTTTCATAACTGTGCTCTTTCTATGGACATCTTAGTGCAGATCGTTGTTTTTCACCCAATGTGAAGATGTAAAATCCTAGAACTCACTCATCTGTTTTAGTAGGTCACAGGAAGCATGCAAACCATAGAAACCATAGCCACCAAAAGCATCTGCATCAAAAAAAGCGAGAAGTGATCTTCTAAAGGTGTCGCCTGAACAAACCCATCCCAGATAAGTAAAGAAGTGACTAGAGACATCGCAGTATCCCTGGGCTGTCAATAAACCGCGCCCTGCACTGGCGTGGGCAGCAATGCTTCCCAGCCACGCGCTTTCCTGTGTTCTCACCTGGGTGAGTATTGCCATCCATGGAGAGGCTGAGAGGCTCTTATAGCAAACCTAGCTTTCAGCCGTGATGGTCTAACCCCCAACTCCGCTGCTGGCCTTCAGAGTACAAATGAACAAGAGTCTTAAACTTCCCGTGGCCAGCGGATGAACTCTTCGGCTTATGGAAGAACTCAGTGTTTCCTGGCCACTGTCCCAGGTCACCCTGAGTTGACCATTGCCATGACGTGTGCGTGATCCTCCTTGGTCAGCAGGCACAGCAGAGGAAGGAGGCCAGTGGATGTGCTTTTCCCCAAGTCCGCTGAAAGGGCTAGCCTCCTGTTGCAGACTGAGGATTTCAGAAACCATGAACCCGGCGCCACAGGGAGATACGGGAGTTTCAAGCTTCAGGCAAAGTATCTTTCCTAACTCTTCCCATGTGTATAAAGAATCCTTAGGTGTACTTAGCCTGGTTCCCAGTTTTCTGACTACCTACATGGACCATGTGAGAACACAGACAAAGCTTGGCCCAGTGGTTATCTGTGTGGTTTTCTGCCATTCTCCCCTAGATCTGTTCTGAGCTCCAGGAAGTGGCATCTATGGGCCTAGACTCCCCACGGCTCCCTCTGCCTGTTGGGTTGGGTCACTTGCCGGCGCTGGCAGGCGATCAGAGTGGGAGCTGAAGGTCTGGGTACTTTCTGCTCCTGCTCTTCTCTTGCATTGCTAATGTCCTAGTAGTGGCTGCGTCCTGCGACCTTCAACTTCAACCGTGTTCAGACCTTCAACAGAGCTCAGGTGATGCGGTGTATCCTATGACCCCTCAGGCAGCGGGCTGAAAGCTCCCGCCGCTGCTAGTCTCTGGGAAGCTCACTACCTTGAGAATTATTTTCAGGGCAGGTTTAGGTGGTAACAAGTTTCCTCAGCCTTTGTTGAGCTGAGAATGTCCTCATTTCTCTCTCATTCTTGGGCAGGTTTGCCAGATCTAGGATTCTCAGTTGACAATTTGTTTCTTCTAGCACTTTAAATATATCAGCCTACTGCCTTCTGGCAATCAAAGTTTCTGATGAGAAATCTGCTGCTAATCTTAATGAGGATCCCCTGTATGTGATGAGTTGTATCTCCTTTGCAACTTTGAGATTATCTGTGTGTCTTTGTCTCTCAAATGTTTGATTACAATGTGTTTTGGTATGAGTCTCTTTAAATTTATCTCATTTGGAGTTCGTTAAACTTCTTGAATATTTATATTCACGTCTTCAAGTTTGAAAAGTTTTCAGCCATTATTCCTTCAAATGTTCTCTTTGCCCTTTTCTCTCTCTCTTCTCCCAGAACTTGCACAGGTTCCGTAAGCTCTGATCGCTTTCCTTCGATCTGTTCCTCAAACTCAAGAATTTCCACTGTCCTAGCTACAAATTTGTTGATTCTTTCTACCTGCTCAAATCTGCTTTTGAGTCCCTACAGTGAATTTTTATTTGTTATTATTTTTTCAGCGCCAGAATTTGTTGGTTTCTTTTTAGCTTTTCTGTCTCTTTACTGATATCTCCATTTTTCCATGCAATTTTCTTGACTTATTCCACATCTTCCTTTCGTTCCTTGAACACCTTTAAGACATTTCTTTTAAAGTCTTTGTCTAGTACATTTGCCATCAGGCCTTTTTCAGGTACAGTTTCTGTTGATTTATTTCTTTTCCTTTGTTTCTTTATATGCCTTGTGACTTTGCTGTAGTTGTTGAAAACTGGATTTTTGAATCTAATAATGTGATAATGCTGGAAATCAGATTCTCCCTCTTCTCTAAGGTTTGGGGGGGTTTTGCCATTTTTTTTCTGTTCAAAGCTGTGTCTATGGCAAGGATCAGCCTCAGGTGTGAAATGAAGGTCTCCTTGAGTCTTTTCTGAGGCTGTGCCTTTCCCTGGATATGTGTGGTCACTTCCTAAGTTTCCCCAGATGCCCTAGCCTTTAATGCCTGGCTGCCAAGACGGGGCGGGGGGGAGAAAATGGAGAGAAAAATAAAGAGCACTTGCCCTTTAAATCTCCTGAAAGTCACTTCAGCCAGAGGAGGAGGGGCTTGCAGCAATGGGGAGCAATGCAGCAGCCATGGAGGGGGCGGAATGCAGGAGCAATGGGGGGCAATGCAGCAGCATGGCTGCCTGTCCCTTTGCACCTCGGAGATCAGAAGCAGTAACCAGGGATCCGAGCACAGATCCCTGGCTCCTGCAAGCTGGGTGCCAGCTGCTCAGGAACATGTGCAAGATGCTGAGGGCTGGGTGTGGGAGATGGGTAACTGCAATTGTGTTAAAAGCTGAAATTGACCAAAGTTAACTGCAATTAATTATCCAAGCCTACCCTTGAAAGGTATAAGCCTTCTGTAGACTCAAGAGTTCCAAAACTGTTAAATCAGACTGATTCTCCCTGTAAAACTGCTGGTCTAGGTGGTGGGGAGAGATTCCTGGTGCTTCCTACTCCACCTTTTCCCCAGAATCTCAATGGTGTTTTCTCTTAAGAAAACTCCTTTCTGAGAAGTAGGACCTATGATAACTGAGGTCCTTCTCATGAAGGACACCTCTGACCTGAATGGCCATTTAGCAAAATTCCCTTTCGTTTAAAAGCTCTCGTCAATAAAATTTCTAACCTGAGCCGAAATCCATGATGTCACTGAGACCAGGGCACTTTGTCACATACAAACCTCATTATGTTTCCTCCATCATCACCTACAGCCTCCGTTAGCATATGTCCTCTAGGAAATGAAGCTGTTGTGCTCATTTCATGCAAAGTATCACCAGCAGACGAAAGCAGATCTCTAGATATAGAGACCCACAAGATCAAGGAGCCCAGAGTCGTTAGACTAAGGAACAGATTTAGGGTGTGCCTGACTGTCTCTGAAGGTTGCATAAGCAAGATTTCAAAATTAATACTACTCTGGAGACCTCAACCAAGTGTACAAAGTTCCTGGATGGAAAAGAAGAACTGTATCATTCTTTTTTTTTTTTTTTCCTTTTCAAAACTTCACCCTTACTTTTATACCCCCGCCTTCTCATTCTGCAGGGAACTTTATTTCCTACTTCTGCACACCCAGTTCCTACCTCCAGATCTGCTTCGTTCAGTTGCTGAGAAGCCTGACACACCAGAGCCACTTGGAAGAAGCTGTCCCCTGGTGAGTGGTGGGTGCTTTTTACATCGCTTTAGGGATCCCAGGCTCAGAGCATCTCAATTCTGGGGGTGCAGAGGCTGGGAGCACTCTGGGGGGCTGCACAGCCCAGGAACTTAGGGATGAAAAGGTGGGAGGAAAGGCTGGAGGATGGTGTCTGCGGCAGAACGGTTACGAGACCCTGACAACAACGAGGAGGCGCACAGCGGGGTGAGACCACCTTCAGGGCTCAGAGGGCCGCAGGGAGCGCGTGAAAAGGAAGGATCAAGAAAGTGAGGACAGCCAGGTATTCCCACTGCTGCTCCTCTCACTCTGTCCCTCCCAGCCCCCCCCCCCGGGGCTTTAAAGAGCTGGAACTTTGTACCCAGAATCTCCTCCCCCTCTAGTTCTTATATGTGACAGTCCAGGCTCCCAACCAAAATGTGCCTCTTACCTCAACTCAGGAGGTCCACAGAGGCTGAAGTGAGGGATTTATTTTTCCTAAGGGCAGCATTTAAATGATTCTGTATGATGTGTCCTGACACTTGAAAGTGACACCCAGCCCAGTGCATTTCAGCCCCCTGCTACGTGTCTGCTGTGGCAGCAGCCAAGTGTGCTGGAGAGACAAAAGAACAGCAGTCAAGAAGAGGTAGATGGCATTTAAGAGGCCGGTGCCGGTCAACCTCAAAGCACAGGAAACACACGGTGGAAGGGTCTGGGGCGCTTTACCCACCACACCGTCAGCCCTCGTCTGAATCATCAGAGCGAGGTTCGGGGCTGCATATTTCTGACTGACAGACTTCCTGTGTTTTACTGAAGCCCAGCATCGAGTACCACTGCTGCATTCCACACTCGCCCGTACGAATGAGGGGACTAACCCCTGGTTAAATACGGCCCAAGAGCTTGCTGCAGTGAAGGAGCTGTGTGCTAGGATCCCCAGTATATTCATTTGTACAAGGTCTCCCACGGGATTACCTGTGAGTCTGGTCCACAGTAGGGCAGACTCTTCTGTGTCTCAGCCACTTGCAGCCTGTTGGTTCTCTGTTATCCAGTTATTCAGTGGATGTTTATTTAGTAGCCATGTGCTGGGTTGGGTTCTGGGGCACTGTGATACCTCATTGCAAAGTCAAAGATTTCTGCTCTCATGGAAGCCATGTTCTGGTGGAAGTGGTGTGTGTGTGTGTGTGTGTGTGTGTGTGTGTGTGTGGATGTGCGTGCGCGCGCGTGCACACACTAGTACATGCATGGGTAGGGCATGCTAACATGGATGAGTGTGGATTCTAAGCCATGGAAGACTACCTGGAGAATCTGTGACCTGTTCTTCTACACCCATCTCTGCCCTCGGATCCTGGAAATGGGAGCCCCTGAGGGCCTTCAAAATTGAGTGGCCCAGGGTTCAAATGCCAGCTCAGCCATTACTTGCTTTGTGAATTTGGGAGTCATTTAATCCATCCATGCTCACCTTTCTTTGCTTGTAAAATGCATAGTTATCTCACAAATTCGTTGCAAAGATTAAATGAATTCATGCATGCAAAGTACTTAGTGTGGCACCTGGAGCTTAAGGAGAGCTCAGTTAATAATTATAGTTGTAATTCTTCAGGTGGATGCATTAGTTCTCCAAGCCTGATCAGATGTCTTGTTTGGGTCTGCAGACATCAAGCAATCTGTCTCAGTGACGTGAAATGCAAGATCTGTGAAATGTATCAATCACAGGAGAAACTGAAGAATGTGTGCATATATAAAGATAAGATATGTATATAGATTAAAAAAGCAAAATCACAGTCACTACCAGAAAAAGATAAATAGTCTTGAGGATCAAGCCTAATGATGTTAGATGTCATATTTTCATCAGTGCCTTTGTTAGCCAGGTGCCATCGTAAGAGCCAGAGATAGAATTGTGACCTAGTTCTTGACCTCAAGGAGCACACAATGTGTAGGAGATAAGGTGGTAAGTGCTTATGAAGAGGCAGGCACTGTGTCATGAGGTGATAGGAGTGATTGGATAGAGGAGGCCCCACAGAGAAGGGGAATTTGAGCATGAGGGAGTGGGGGATGAGTAGGAGCCCACTGGCCAGTCTAGGCCGAGGGGCAAACACATGCAAAACCATGGGAGGAAATGGTGAGTCTAGAGGGAACGGACAGACGGTGGCTGTGTCTGGAGCACAGGGTCTGGGATTTAAGAAGTGATTAGAGGTGAAGCTGACTAGCCGTGAGCTTAGGAAAGGCGAGATGAGTCATCTAAGCATCGCCTTTGAAGTCCCATCACCTACACATCATGGAGCTCCTGGAGGTTTTCAGCTCAGAAGTGCACGATCCGATTTCCGTTTTAGAGAAGACGGGGTGAAAGGGAGCATGGCCAGGGATGAGCTGTGAGCGAAGGAGAGACCACAACAAAGCCAGAAGTGAAAGGTGTACAAGGCAAGGGCGTGGCAGGGGAAAGAGGTTCAGAGGGGATGACTCTCAGAGGTGCTTATGAACTAGAAGTCCTATGACATCATGACAACAACGCAGAGCATCTCTGCACCGGGTGCTGGAAGAAGTCTATGTCTCCAGGAATCTCCTTGGCAGCTCAGCAGGGCCAATACCTTGAACATCAAGACACTGGTAGATGAAGAAGTAAGTAGCCCCAAGTTACACAACTTGTAGGTTGGAGGCAGGATTCAAATCTAGATCTGTTAGGCTGCCATGGCCGGGTTTCTAATCTTCCAAAGAGGAAGGGACCAGGATAATGCGAAGTTCTGCTTCTTGGGAAATGGAGCAAAGGACAACAGCCAAGGATAGGAACCCACAGGCTGAAGCAAGTTTCCAGGGCTGTTCACTGGGGCTTAAGTTGAATCAGAGGTACCTGTAGAATACCCACTTTGCTCAGTGTTGTAGCTCTCGTGCCTAAACCAGGGCATGGTTCCTACTAGGTGCTCAATAAATATTGCTTAAATGATTAAACCCAAAGGGAGATAGGCAGTAGGCAATGGGAAATTCCACTCTGAGCTGTAGGAGTTGAAAGGCGGGCTTGGAAGATAGAGCTTCGGAAAGCCTTAGTATTCAGGGGACTTAGGACCCTGAGATTAGGTGACACAATGCAGGAAGAACTCTGGAGCGAGAATAAAGAGGAAGAAAGTAAAGAGGTGGAGCCAAGGATGGAGCTTTGGCAAGGGAAGAAGACACCAATAAGGCACCAATGAGGAAAATTCATAGGAAGTGGTAAGGCCGGAGCTAACCTCCTGGAAACCAAAAGAGTTTTATATGGAACAAGTTATCAGAAGGATCCAAGGCTCAATGTGGATGCATCTGAAATGAAGCATTTTTAAATGAGGCCGTTTAAAAATGAGGTTGTTGCCCTGGCTGCTGTGGCTCAGTGGGTTGAATACTGGCCTGGGAACTGAAAGGTCACTGGTTCGATTCCCAGTCAGGGCACATGCCTCAGTTGCAAGCTGAGACCCAGTTGTGCAATCGATATTACATATCGATGTTTCTCTCCCTCTCTTTCTCCCTCCCTTCCCCTCTCTCTAAAAAAATAAATAAAATCTTTTTTTTTTTTTAATAAAAATCGGATTGTCGTTGCAACCTTGGCAAGAGGCATTTTGGCCAAATGACAAAGGCAGGAAGCTGAGACAGGTATCAGGAGACTTTTGGCTACAGGTCACAGAAAACGTTCCTCATCATGGCTTACACACAGGGGCTGACTTTTCTCAGGAAACAAGGGTGGACTTGGGACTGAGTGGTATTCAGACTCTGCTTAGATTTCCTCCACTTCTCTGGGTCCCTCAGTCATGGTCCCAAGCACCCAGCCCTCACAACACAAGCAACAAGAGAGGAAGTGTCTTGCATCTCCCTTTTCAGAGAAGAGTGTTCCCAGAAACGCCCTGGCAGAGTCTCCTTCAATTCTCATCCAGGGATGGGTCACCTGCAGAGGAGGTAGAAAAAGCAAGTGTCCAGCGTGTTAGCCTATAATGAGAGCTGGGCTCTCTGGGAAAGTCAAGGACATTTTCAAACCCTGGCCAGGGAGATGAAGGGGTTCTGCTACGAGGCATAAAGGGAAGTGATGAAAGAGCACTCATATTTTCAAGGAGATGGTTGCAAGGCAAAGACAAAGGCCAGACAGTACCTAAGGAGGGCAAGAATATTTTTAAGACCAGGAATTGCAGCAGTTACGTTGTATGTTATCGTCTTGTTTTCTGTTTGCAGGACGGAGGGAGATGGGTGATAATAACGACACGTTGGCCCAGTTCAGCTACAACATGCTGACCACAGCTCATTCTCTGCTTACAACATACATCCCTGGGAATGAGGAAGACACCACCACCACTTTTGACTATGGGGAAAATGAACCCTGCGATAAATTCGAAGTGAAACGTATTTCAACCTGGCTCCTGCCTCTGCTGTACTCGCTGGTGTTCATTGTTGGTTTTGTGGGCAACCTGCTGGTTGTCCTCACCCTGATAAACTGCAAAAAGCTGAAGAGCATGACTGACATCTACCTGCTCAACCTGGCCATCTCCGACCTGCTCCTCCTGCTGACTTTGCCAGTGTGGATGCATTTTGTCTCCAATGAGTGGGCCTTGGGGGATATCATGTGTAAAGTAATCACAGGGATATATCAGATTGGCTATTTTGGAGGAATCTTCTTCATCATCCTCTTGACGATCGATAGGTACCTGGCAATTGTCCACGCTGTGTTTGCTTTAAAAGCCAGGACAGTCACATTTGGAGCGGTGACGAGTGGGATCACGTGGGTGGTGGCTGTGTTTGCCTCTCTCCCAGTAATCATCTTCACGGAAGCCAAACCTGAAGACGGTGCTTACTTCTGCGGCCCTTACTTTCCAAAAGGATGGAAGAATTTCTATTCATTAATGAGGACCATCTTGGGCCTGGTCCTGCCACTGCTGATCATGGTCATCTGCTACTCAGGAATCCTGAAGACCCTGCTTCGGTGTCGAAACGAGAAGAAGAGGCACAAGGCGGTGAGGCTCATCTTCGTGATCATGATCGGCTACTTTCTTTTCTGGACTCCCTACAACATCACCCTTATCCTGGACACCTTCCAAGTATTCTTCGGCATGAGTAACTGTGTGACCAGCAGCCAGCTGGACCAAGCCATCTATGTGACAGAGACCCTGGGGATGACCCACTGCTGTGTCAACCCCATCATCTATGCTTTTGTTGGTGAGAAGTTCCGTCGGTACATCTCTGTATTTTTCCGAAAGCACTTCGCCAAACGCCTCTGCAAACAGTGCCCGATTTTCTATCGGGAGACAGCAGATCGAGTGAGTTCAACATACACCCCTTCCACTGGGGAGCAGGAAGTCTCAGTTGGTTTGTAGATGAGCAGCAATTGACTTTTTATTTTTAAAAGGAGATAGCCATCTCTATATGATAATAAACCTCCAGGGCTGGTGGACATGCACAGGCCTGCAAGTCGCTAGAGCAAATACCCAGGAACTTTGGCATTGCATGTGCCGAGAGAAACTCATGTCACTCCGTGTACAGCAACGTGTCCTCAGGCAATGTCCCAGAACAACTGTGGGCAGAGACTTGGACTCGGCAGCACGCTCATCTCAGTCCCTGGAAAAGGCCTCAATAACCTGTGTTTATGCTCTTCCCCCCGTCTGCACCATGTCTTCGCTCGCTCTGCTTCCATCAGTCTCTCTAATCAAGTGCCCAGTGAGAGTTGTGGGTGAAGGAAAGGAGGGGGAGTGGGGCTGGCTGCGTGCGGAGAGGAGGGGGCGTGAGCATGGCCGAGCCTGGACGGGGATGAGAGGAAGGGGTTTGCTCGTTCAGCCCGGCAAGTACTGGCCCTTAGCCCCATCTCCTGTCCGCGTCTGGCTCTGAAGGCCTCGCCAGGTCCTGGAGAGCTCAGGAACTGTAATCGCTTTTGGACAGCTTTGCTTGAGTCCCATGATCCTCTTCTGTGTAACTTCATTTTCGATTTATTCTGTTTTATCTAAAGCAACCACGTACTCTCCCTTTGAAATCCATTAGATTCCCACTGTCCCCGTTTCCTAGGCCAATCCCCCTGTATAAAAATGTATACAAATGACCCTGGCTGGTGTAACTCAGTGGATTGAATGCCGGCCTGCAAACCAAAGGGTCGCTAGTTCAATTCCCAGTCAAGGCACATGCCTAGGTTGTGGGCCAGGTCCCCAGTAGGGGGTGCATGGGAGGCAACCACAATAGGTGTTTCCATCTCCTTCTCCCCCCTTTCCCCTCTCTTTAAAAATAAATAAATAAAATCTTAAAAAAAAAAAAAAAGAGCAAGACCACCCCAGGAATGTTTCCAGAATCAGCTAAGGGACAGGCCAAGAAGGACACCTCAGAGCCCCCAAAGGCCTCGTGTCTCGGGCCTGATGCTGTGGCCTCCTTGTCACCTTCCCAGGCCTTCCTCCCGCCCTCGCCCGTCTGTTTCCCTAAGGCCTTTGTCGTGTAACTCTTGCCCGTAGGATTAACCTACTTCAAAGCCCAGTTCATGGAGGGCCAGGAGGGTAAACGTGAAGGACGCCGTGCAGCAGGGACCCCTGGGTGGGCCGGGAAGAGGGAAAGCAACAAGTGGGGGCCCTGGGGCATGTCCTCGGGACAGAGCAGGGGCCTGGGCGCTGCCGGAGGCCGGCCCTGCAAACCGCGCACTGGCCAGCATACCTATCCCTCCACATCCGCAGGCATGGTGGGCCTGGGGGAAGGAGGTCAGGGGTGGGTCAGATAAAAATGCTTTCCAAACCACTTTCCAGAGCTTCATTTTTGATTACAAGGGGTAGAATTCAGATATTTTTTAAAAAAGGAAAAACATTAAAAACATTAAAGCTAAAAACTGCAACGTGTAAGTATGCTAACACAGCACTGTAAGAGCTATCGTTGTGCCAAGCCTGGAGGGACTGTATTAGTTGTAAAGATGATTCTGGTTTTGAGCTTAAAATTTTGTAGCATGTTTGGGAGGCTGCCAGGTCAACACAAATAGTTGCTGACCACGGTGCTGGAGGTCTGTGATCTCTGGGCTCACAAGCCTGGGGTGGCACAGTGTCTAAATAGTATCATTTAGATCACAGCACACACCACACAGCTGTCCTCTTGTGTCTTTATTCTCTCAGACTTGCTGCCAGAAATCCAGGAATTTTTTTTTTTTTTTTTTTTGCATCTTTAAATCTACGTAGTTGTGGATATACTCATATATGAATGCTTCAGTGCTGTGTGGCTATCCTTACCAACGCTTGAACTGTCTCATTCCTAAATCAAGCTGACCCTAATCAAAAGCGTTTAAACCCTATTGTAAAGAGTGGGATTTGGTTCACCTAAGTAAGCAAAGACTTTCGCTTTGGTTGAGCCAAGTTAAGAATGTTCATCCGTGTTCCCCGGTGCACGTGTGATCCAACGCAAGCCAAAAACCTGGGGCTTGAGGTACCTGGCCCTTCGGAGCGGGGCGTTACTACGGTTTTACTCTCTTGCTTCGTGGCCAGAGGGTTTCACAAAGGAATGCGTGTGTTGGCAGTAGAGAGGGACACGCTTCACCTTCAGGTGTTTGTGTTACCCTCATGGATGCGTTAGATTTTGTTTTAATGATTGTTATGTCTTGGAAAAGGAGTCAATGCTCTCTAACTGTACTGTTTTGTTTTAAACAAAACCTGTTAATAAAAAACTCCCCATTTCCTCCTCCCCCGCCTCCAGTAACCACCGTTCTATCCTTCTGACCTGTGCGTGGGACTGTTTTAAATATCTAGTACAGGTGGAATCAGGATGTACTTGTCCTTCTGCGACTGACATATTTCACTTAGTATAATGTCCTCCAGGTTCATCCATGTTGTCATATGTTACAGGATTTCCTCTTTTCTGAGGGTAAATAATATTCCATTCTATGTTTATATCACATTCTCTTTAGCCATTTATCAACATGCATACTGTTTCAGTTAGACCAGATGAATACGTTCTAAATATCTGCTTTACAATATTGTGCCAATACATAACAGCACTGTACTGTACACTCAAAAGTCTGTTAAGGATGTAGCTCTCATGTTGTGTTCTTACCACAATAAAATTGAAAAACACTGCCTGTTTTGTTACCCTGCAGTGTGACAGGTTGTCACACCTTCTCACTCCTTCCCCTGTGTGGTTACACATGCCTGTGCTTGCTCCATGATTTCATGTCCCTACAGGTGGGACGCCCCCACCCCATCCACAGGTGGCTGGCCCCGTGGGAAGGGAACAGAGGTGACCCCAGTATTAAAGTTTCCCTCACAAATTGCAACGGCCTCAGGTGCGATTAACCAGCGGCAAAGGCCAGCGCAGGCCACCACGGGGAAAGGCGCCGTGAACGATGAGGCACCTGGGCCGGCGAGCCGGCCTCTGAGGCAGCAGCGAGTGAATTTAGGGGAGACCAGCCCCTGGGTGTGGTGAGTGGCTGAGGTTGGAAACTTCTTCAGACTTTGCTGCTGTGGCAGCATGTTTGACCTTGACCCCGGGCTCTGTCACCTCCTGGGGACACCCTCCCTGCCTCTGTGCCACGCCCTGCCTTCACTGGGTGCTCCCTCTGATGGCCTCTTCCCCTGCTCAGTGGTCGGCTGCTGAGTGGACGCCCCGCCTGGGAACACGTGCTGGACTCCCCTGCTGGCAAGCCCCAGCCCCTCACACGGCTCTCCCCCCCCCCCGCCTGTATCCCCACTCCCCTCCCCGCCATCCCACCCGCTCCTCCCACCCTTTGCTGCCCCCAATTGTCTCCTTACCGGGACAAGGGTGGGAGGAGTTGAGGGGGGATGGGAGGCACAGGGCTCATTGCCCCGGGTGAGCCCCGGGGAAGGTGCCTGGTCCCTGGTGTCAGCGGTTTCCTTTAGAAATGCAGGTTGCCTAACACCTCGTTGCCCTCAGCCTCAGGTTACAGTTGCCAGTTCTGGGGTGGCAGGAAAAGTATCACATTATATCCTGTTATGCACAAAGTTACATGTCGAGCAGCGGCTGTGATCTGACCCACCGAAGGTCACAGCGAGCCTACTATATACTTTAATCGGCACATGTCTGCGACTGCACCCCAGGCTGCGTTGGCCCCGAGCCCAGGCAGGGATGTGGGGAAAAACGAACAAACACCACAAAAACAAAAAACGCAAAATGCAGAGAGCGGGCTTTCCAGGGGAGGCAAGGGGCTTCCACCAAGGGATGAGGCACACAGTCTGCAGTGGCTGCCTGGCTGGTGATTTCACAGGGCACGGGGACATGGTGCGTGGGCCGGGCAAAGGGGTTATCCTGGGGAGGGCCTCAGGACAGAGACATCAGGACTAGAGAGGACAGCAAGGTGCCCCCACAACTCTGCTCGTCATGCTGGGTGCCTGAGGCGGAAGGGGGAGGGCGATGGGAGACATAGGGCCCCCGCATCACTGCTGGCACACAGGTGACAAAGTGCGGCACTGACTGGGACGTGGGGAGAGGATTCCTTCCTTTCTCTTGGGGACTCTGGCTCTCCTGGTGAAGGTGGCTTTGGGGACACTGGGAGGTCCTTCCTTGCTGGGGCGCTCAGAGCACTGATAGCAGCATTCAAAACCCGCTGCCCACATTCGCGAGCAGCATCTGCGTCGTCAGCAAGCGCGGGAAGAAGCCCGGCCACCTCGCAGGGCTCTGCCACAGACCCTCTGGCGTTATGTTGAACAAAAGAAGCCAGACACAAAGGGGCCAGAGTCTGGCCGGTGATGCCACTTACATAAAGTTAAAGGAAAAAAGGCACATCGAGTCCTGATGATGGGAGTCAGAGCGGCTCTGCCCCGGGCGGGTGCAAGGGCGTCTTCCGGGGCGACAGGGCTAGTCCCCGGCATCGCGACCCGGGGGGGTGGCTCCGCGGTACACACGTGGCAGAACCTCACCAAGCTGTACCCCTAGGATCAGGGTGCTTTGCCACAGGTAAGTTATAGCTCAATAAAAATAACAGAGAGCTATATAAAAAATATTTAATAATGCGAGGGAACGCCTATAGTATAATCTTTAGTATAAAAAGAAAAAGAGCCACACACAGAACTGGTATTCATGGGAGAACAATGAATCAAAACGTATGTATAAGCAAAGGTCTGGATTAAACCACATCTTATGTCGAGAGAGATTGTTTTGCGATTGTGAGCATAGGCCTAATTTTTTTCTCCCACTTTCTATTTTTCTGTCTTCCTAATTTCGTGCAATGAGCATGTGTTGGTTTTATAATGTGACATTCATTTTCGGAACTGAAGGATGCATTCGCTATTTTTACAGCGTGTCCCACTGCTGACTGACATTGACCTGCAGCCCCCGCGCCCCGGGGGTGCCCGCGGGACGGCTGCGGCCAGGGTCTCACCCGCTGCGCTCGGGCGCTCGGCCCTGAGGGCCCGAGGAGGCGGCGGCGGTTCTCCCCAACCTGCTGGCGATGCCCTGACTGCACGGCCCAGGGCGGCTCGGGCAAGGGACCTGGGGACAATAACCCGATGTGGAGAAGCTGTTTAATAACTGGTCAGCGTCCCGAAGAAGGGCTGGCATGGGACACCCTCCAACACCGACATCGCGTCGAGAGTGACAGACCAGTCAGAAGATCATTGGGGACGGGGGGGGGGGGGGGGGGTGGATCTGAATGACACCCATAGGAGAGCGAGAGCCCTGAAGAGAGGGAGGGACAGAGTTAAAAGAGAAGCAGAGACCAGGAAACTAAGTCACAGAACGATGAACTGCTCGTGGGTTGCCTCGGTGGTTGTGTCCATTGTGGTTTCATTGGCGGAACGCTGACGGGGTTCCCATGGGCTGTCCCTTCCTTGGGCCTCCTGGGGATGCACGCCTATCCCAAGAGGTGACCTCACCTCACCTCTGGACCCAGACACCTGAGAGGGGGTAAGGCACCCTGCTAAGCTGTGATTCCTTGTTTCTGCCTGTGAATCTTCACCCTATTCCCTTCCCACATGTGTTTTCCAAACCAATGCGGCCACGGAGTCATTTACTATTTAAGTGGGGAGCTGCCTTCGGGACCCTCCAGGCTTACAACACCCCTTGAGAGATGAGGAAATGGAAGCTCAGAGAGGAAAAGCGTCTTGCCCAGAGTGCAGGGGGAGCCGGCAGCACAACCTGGGCGGCTCTGAGCCTGCTCCATTGCTCCATACTGCCCTCTGGCGGTGAGCGTGCTGTCCCGTGCTCCGCCCTCCCAAGGATGGACTCAGACACAGGGCAAAGCCCCACTCTGCGTGGGGGGACGTCGGAAACAGCCGCTGTCTCATACAGACAAGCCACGTTTGTTCAGCAGCCTCAGAGCGCTCTGCACAGGTGTATCACCAGCAAACACAAGGCGGCTCTTTCAAGAACCAAAACTGTTACCTACTTTCTGTGACACTTCACATTAATCCATTTGCTATCCATTTTGTGAACTCTTTCTAAAGCATACCTTCTATTTCACTGCTTAAATAACCCACAGAGGACAGCTATCTGCAAAATGGTCTATGCTTGTTACATCATTTGATTCCCCCTCACCCCCACCCCTGGCCCAGCACACAGTAAGTACAATACAAGCGATAGCCATTGACATTATTTTTCTAAGTCCTGCTGAAAAACTACAGTCCACCTAGAATTTTCCCTCCCTTTTTTTGTTTGCACCCCTCACCCCCACCCTTTTGGCCACCATCAGCTTGTTCTCTGATTTATCATTTACAGCTGTATTTATCTTGTGATCATGGCCACAGGCCTATCAAGCAGATTTGTGTGTTTGAGTTTCGCCCATTTCACAGATAAAAAAACCAAGGTCTGGAGAGTTTCAGCAACTCCCTCAGATCAACTGGTAAACAGCCAAGCTGGGGTTTAAATCCAACCACAGGACCGCAGAGTCCGGCTCTTAATCCTTGCCACTTGAATTACACAAGCAGCCTGAACTTGAGCATCTTCTTTACGGTTCACTGTCCTGGTTAGGGTTACCAGTTCTTGGGCTCTGTAGTAACACAAACACGTGTCCCTGTGTGGCCCAGTTCCGTGATCTTCCGGCTCCGCCCGCCCCCCAACCCTGCCAGTCGTTCGCTCTGTGCTCCAAGCACCAGACATTAGGTCCATTTACCCTTTCAGCATCTTGCTTGCTCCTACCAAGCAGCTGCATACAAGGACCACAGGGAACCAATTTTGTGAGCACTTTATCAAACAGATCTCTCTAAGAAAGGATCACTTAACGAGTGACTAAGAGTTTGATGTTTATGGAGTACCTATTATGTGCTAAATTCTGGACGTGGATGCGTCATCTAATCCTCCCAACAAAACCATGAAGCAACTACTGTTAGCCCCATGTCAGGTGACTCCACAGGTCTGGGGTCTCTTTGGCCTTCCTGTAGATCACAAGCTTCTTAGTCTAGAGCAGAGGGGAGAGAAGCACTTAGAGGATGCTCTTGAGGTTCAGGTTTGGCTCTGCTGTGTTCTCAGCTCTGTCATTAACAATTGAGGTTTTTAGATAAGTCACCAACCACCAAGAAAGCTTGATGTGACTGCCTATATATCATCACATAACCCTGAACTTGATCTTATACTCCTGGCGTTGGCTGTCCCTTTCATGTTGAAAATTTCTCATAGATCCAGCCTGACCTTGGAGTGAGAATTCTGCCACTGCGCACCTGCATCTGTGCACCTGGTACAATATAGGTGCCCATCAGTGCCTGCTGGTTTGGAGGGCTGCAAAACAGTGAGTAGGCAGAGAGCAAATTCATAATGACATGTCCCACTAGCTACCCAAGAGAACAGTAGACAGTGTGATTAGCTCACAGGCGAACCTATAGTGTTAAAATGCCTTAGACAACCAGTTGTATTAGTTTACAGAGAAAAATCATGCCGGGTGGTGAGCAAATGTGTGAGTTGTGGCAGGCAAGGAGGGTGGGAAACGGGTGAGGGAAAGAGGCCACCAGGTGAACAGGCAGTATTCCCCTTCTAAGTTCAAGTTGTTTGAGTGGCTTTCATTGATGACAAATAACAAGAGGATCGGAGCCTCTTGCCCTTTTAGCCTTATCACGGATAAGCCCTGTGGCCTCATACAAATCATTTTTCTCATGGGCAGCACGGAGTTTGGGTTTTAGGGGGGTTTTTGTTTTTCAGTAAAATGAGGGCTTTTGACTAGACATAGGTGAATGTTCTAGTTCTAATGTCCTTCAATTCTATTTCCTAACAGATTCTGCATAGTTGAATCAGCAGAGAACAAAAAAAAAAAAAAAAATAGCGTAACAGGGAAGCCTGCAAATATACTTCCCAATCTATTCTCCAGTCTATTTAAAGCCCAATTTTAAAAAAAGAAAAAGGAGAACTGTTTACTGAATTTTTCCCCCCTGCAACCTACGTAAGCATTAAAACTCCACCCCACTTTTAGTAGAAACTGTGCATTTCCTACTTGTATGCCACTATATGTTTGATCTGCACAGCTCGGCTGGGCAGAGCAGCTGAGACATCCGCTCTCCCCACAAGAAACTACCCGGTAAGTCACTTCTCAGCCACTTTGATTATTAGTTAACTCAGTGTCTGTGATGAGCACAGGCCTTTACAGGAAACCCATAGAAGACATTAAATAAACCCCAGGCGCTCATAGAACTATCTTAGAAGATAATCTGTAAAATAAGGACAGGGTTAGAATTTAGAATGGGTTTCAGACCACGATAACATCAAAGATCCAAAACATGATTATGAATGAAAGATTTCAAAGGGAACAACATTATCTCCTTAAAAGCCCTCCCCTTTCGAAAGGAAGATTTTTCCAAGAGGTGATTCTTGGCCAAAATCTTGGCAGAGATTATCTTTTGATAAGGAGAACTAAAACCTCCGGGCAGACTGCCCTTTGAATATGCATCCAAACAGAAGTTGTGTCTAGGTCTGGTTTTTTTGGGTGTTTTGCCCCCAGAAAAGAGGAAGGCTAAAAATTGTCCAAATTAATATCATTACAAATATGAAATAAAGTCTCCCTTTAGCGTATGAGTTCCATAACACATTGTAGTGCACGATTCTCCTTCTGGCTCAGAATTTAAAGGGGAAGTTTTCTGGGTGCTTCTGCCAGCTGCCTGGGATTAACTAGAGAGAGTTCTCGGTCCAGAAGTAGAACTTCAATAGACTGGACAAGCCAGTGGGTTCTGAAGGAACTGAGCTAGCCCAGAAAGTATGGTGGTCAATGGAACATTTTCCACTTGGACATTTCTTGTGGATGTTGAGATCTCAGGAACTATGAACCCAAACCTCAGAGGAAAAGGAATAATCACAGTCTGGATTTCCCAGTTGACTGTTGGCTCTTAGGACTGTCTCCGGGGACCCAGCATCAGCCTGTTTCATTCTGATCACACGGAGGTTCCCGGCTGCTGGTCCTGCTCTTTGGTTCTCTCACCAGGGAATGAGAGACAGGATAACATGGTTGGTGAGTGTAGGCTGCCTGTGTTCAAAATCAATTGGTCTCTAGCTGTGTGTCTCTAGGTAGGTTATTCACCCTCCCTGGGCTTTGAGGTCCTTATCTGCAAAATGGGGACAATAATGTGACCTGACTCATTGGGTGACCTTGAGGATTAGTTGAATAAGTGGACGTGACGCCTAGGACTGCAGGTGGCACGCATGACGCCCTTGGGAACTGTCGGTTATCACAGCGCAGCTCTTCCACGTTAATCATCACATGAGCCTGCTCCAGGGATAAGGCAGCTCCAGCATAGGTTGTAAGACAGTGCTGTGCCAATGGCGCCTGACTCAGTTTCTCTAAATTGTTATCCAAGCTTCATTTATTCTATAAGGCTAGGGAACACCAGGGTTCATTTGGTGAGGTGCTGCCTCGGTGTCTTTCACTGAAAGAGGAAAGTTAGCAGCAAGTCTTCCCTTTATTACAAAAATCCATTGTTTGCCACCCCCCCCCCCCCAAAATGAGCTCAGTTAAATGTAGAAATCTATCTCTCAATTTTAAGGACTTATTCATGAATAAGATGGTTTGCATTCATGGTGGACCACTATGCACATTCTAGGACTTCATAAAAGATCACTGTTTCCTCATTTGCAGGGCTGAGGCAAGATGGATTATGCAGTGTCAACTACAACTGATTACATTGATTATGGTATATCAGAGCCCTGCCATAAGACCAATGTGAAAGAAATCGCAGCCAAGCTCCTACCTCCGCTGTACTCGCTGGTGTTCATCTTTGGTTTTGTGGGCAACCTGCTGGTCGTCCTCACACTGGTAAACTACAAAAAGCTGAAGAGTATGACTGACATCTACCTGCTCAACCTGGCCATCTCCGACCTGCTTTTCCTTTGCACCGTTCCATTCTGGGCTCACTACGCAGCAGACCAGTGGGTCTTTGGGAACAAAGCATGTCAGCTTTTGACAGGGTTCTATTTAATCGGCTTCTTCTCTGGAGTCTTCTTCATCATCCTCTTGACAATTGATAGGTACCTGGCGATCGTCCACGCCGTGTTTGCTTTGAAAGCCAGAACGGTCACATTCGGGCTGGCGACAAGTGGGGTCACGTGGGTGGTCTCTGTGCTGGCCTCTCTCCCGGGAATCATCTTCACCAAATCCCAAAAAGAAGGTCCTCGTCTTACATGCAGCCCTCACTACCCAACCCATCAATATCATTTCTGGAAGAATTTCCAGACATTAAAGATGGTCATCTTGGGTCTGGTCCTGCCACTGCTGGTCATGGTTGTCTGCTACTCGGGAATCCTGAAGACCCTGCTTCGGTGTCGAAACGAGAAGAAGAGGCACAAGGCGGTGAGGCTCATCTTCGTGATCATGATCGGCTACTTTCTTTTCTGGACTCCCTACAACATCACCCTGCTTCTGACCACCTTCCAGAATTCCTTTGGCCTGAATAACTGCAGTAGCTCCAATAGGCTGGACCAAGCCATGCAGGTGACGGAGACCCTGGGGATGACGCACTGCTGTATCAACCCCATCATCTATGCCTTCGTTGGCGAGAAGTTCAGAAACCACCTGTCAGCGTTATTCCGAAAGCACATCGCCAGGCGCCTCTGCAAACGCTGTCTGATCCTCCAGCGGGAGGCTCCCGAGCGTGCAAGCTCTGTCTACACGCGATCCACAGGGGAGCAGGAACTCTCCACTGGCCTGTGACCCAGACCTGGCTTTTATACACACACGGGGTGGGGGGGGCAGTTATTTTAAAAAGAAAGTTGCTGTCACAGAAGATTGGAGATCTGTCTGTCTATCTGGCATCTGCTGGAAGTATGGTAAATAGTTCAAGCCCATGGATTCTAGAATGCCGAATTAAAACACATGGGTGAAATAGCCACCTTGTAATCCCTCCTCCACATACATCAACTGCTGGCGAACCTTCCCTTCACTGCAAAAGTTCATTTGGAGGAAAAAAAAAAAACACAAAAAAAACAGGGAACTGCTGATTCTTGAGTTTGGTTACCTGGCCAGGAACGACCAAAGGAATCAAGAAACGCGTTGTAGCGTTTCTTCCTGCACAGATGGTAAACGTGTTTAAAACGGGTCCTTGTCTTGCCATGGGGAGAAGAGACATGAATGTGACCTGTTGCGAGAGGCCGTCTTCTGCGTGGGATCTCCCCTCTGAGGTGGTTCCACAGCTGTCTGGGACCAGGCAAGAGCCCTGGGGCCTGCTGAGCGCAGGGAGAGCTTCTTCAGCAAGAGAGTACCGCAGGGGTTTCAGCTCTTGGTGGAAAAGTGGAAGCTGAGCTCCAGGCTGCAAGTGGCAAAGATGTGCGACTGGGGGCGGGGGGTGGGGGGGCTGTAGACCGGATTATGAGGAAGCTGGACGGCACTGCTCAGCCAAGTCTGAGGGCAGAGCCAGGCCTTGGCCGGTGTTGCGGAAGGCTTACTGCAGCCTAAGGATGACCTGGAGAGGTGAGCACGTCGGGCAGGGACACGAGCAACAAGCAGGTCAAGGTGAGGAGGCCTCCACTTGGGTCGAGGCATAAGAAGGGGTGTTCGTGCACAGCATTTAAGATAAGAGCAGAACTGGGCCGACCTGGGTGGGGGGTGATTGGCAGAGGGGAGTCTGAGAGACCCTGGGCTTTCAACATGCGGATCGGAGATGCCGTAAAGGAGGCTTCAAGCTTGGAAGGAAGGGGAGGTTTTGGTGAAAAGCAGGAGGGGCAGCGGAAGAGGATGCACCAGCTTTGCGAGCGTGCGTGCAGGGCAGCGCAGAGCAGCGCAGGCGGACTCTCGTGAGGGGCCCGCTCTCAGGCCCCCCTTCCCACCCCAGTTTGATCACGAGGCATCTCCTGGAGGCTTTGAAACAACACAATTGGGATTGCGCCGTCCTGGCATCCAGGAACATTTCTGGGTCAGATAGGACATAGTTCATGGAAATCCAGAGCTTTATAAGCAGTGAGCCAAGAGGTGAGAGATGACTAAGTGTTGCTTGCCGCACACACACCACTATTTGGGTATTGCCTTCCGGATCTAATTATATCAATAGGCATAGGGGAGAAGAGACACACTCATTTGGAAACAAGCTGTGCCCAGCTTTATAAACCACAAAAAGCACAATTCACTGGCCTCTGTGTTGCGGGCTGAGTATGGGGCATTTAGATACTCTTTCCAGATGCTCTCTCCAGACAAATGGTACCCAAACACTAAGGGAGCTGTTCATTTTAAAGGGAGAGCTATGAGGTTTTTTTCTTTCTGCAGTTGCCACGTTTATTATTTTGTACACACCTGAGAAAGTTTTGAAACTGGGACACCTGAAACCATGGTAATAAACATTAGATGAAAAAGCGTGAAGAAACATACAGGAGAAAGAATCAGGAGATTAAGGTGTCAGAATAACAGGAGGTGTTAGTGATCTTTCTCAGGCTCTGAAAACTGAACCTTGAGGCTTGTGGCTGTCAACTGCAAGGGACTGGAAGTGCCTGTGCCTTTGTTGTGAAGAATGTTGAGAGGGCATAATAGCATATGACCCCAGCCTCCGGGTAGATTCAGACATCTGATCTCTTTGTCTATATATACATGTGTATATGATGTTCTTATGTATATAGAAAGCTACAAATTGCTTGGAAGAAATAAATGCATCTAGCCCTGGCTGCTGTGGCTCAGTGGATTGAGCATCAGGCCTGACAACCGAAAGGTTGCTGGTTCAATTCCCAGTCAGGGCACATGCCTGGGTTGCAGGCCAGGTCCCCAGTTGGGGGCGGGGGGGCATGCCAGACAACCACACATTGATATTTTGCTCCTTCTCATTCTCTCTCCCTTCCATTCTCTCTTAAAAAAGTAAATAAATAAAACCATTTTAAAAAATAAAATGAAAATAATTTATTGTATTCCTGTTCTTTCAGTCAGGTGTACATTTAGAGACTACCACATAAATTGTGAGAGCATTTTGTAAGTTGCTGTTTGGGAAAATATCACACCCATATTGAGAATTGTATTTATTTTTAAATATTTGTAAAAGTTGATCCTGTACCTGGGTCAAATGGGCAGAATAAATTGTATTTAAAGATGCCGCCCCCAGGATGGAGTTTCTGAGCAAGTAACCCCGAACATGTTTACATTTCAAATTTAATTCTACGGTGCCAGTAAAAGAACCGACACATGTTTTTAAAGAAGAAAACCTACGTGGGTTCAAGCATGTGGCAACTGTGCATGTTTGAAAATGAGGGCGACATGTAACACCATGGCCTCGATACGATGCACGAGGATGGGGCCGGTTGCTATAAAGTTTACTTTTCTTTCACTTAAAACCCCTCCCAAAAACCTGGCTGTCATTGCGGTGATGGCAAGGGTTCCCATGTGGATTTCTGTGCAGGTGTCTCTTATCCTCCCAGAGGACAGGTGCTCCTGGCGGACGGTGGGCAGCACACTGGTTTTCAGCCTGCTGTGCTCTCACCTTCCAGCAGGTGGCAGAAGAGCCAGCGACGATGCCTCGGAGGTCAATGCAATGAGCAGAAGATAGGACACCTGCAGCCGGCTCTTTAGACAACTTCTCCCAAACAATGCTGAAGGGCTGCCTTCCACCTCATAGGCCCAAAGGAGCCAAGGAACATGGAGCGGGGACTGGGGTCAGAGGGAAGGGCTGAGGGAGAAGGGAGGCGTGTCCCGTCCGATGAGGGCAGCTGCACAGGGAAGTTGGAAGGTGTCCTTTTTCAGGGCGGATAATAAGTGACTCCCAAATTAACATGAAGAAATAGCTCCCGGGGCCCATCCCCATCCGCTCCCCCTGCCTGTTTCTTTGCTCCTGGTTTGCCTGGACCCTCCACTGCCCACCCCTCTCTGGAGTCCTGACTCCATTCGCCATCCCTTCACTGAAGGTGCCCTGATCCTTCACTCAGGAGCCTCTGCCACATGGGGGACTTCATGTGCATGCCATGGATAAAGTCAAAGTGAATGTCCTCACCAGGGAGGAGCTAAGGTACAAATTCATGAGTTAGCATTCTCTTTACACCTACATTCTAAGGGCTCTTAAGTTTAAACAGCTCTAAGTTAAAAAGCACACGCATTTCCATGGTTAGGTTTACATTCACAAGTCATTTCTTTTCTCTCGGAGGGGAGGACAGACCCCCAAACATAAATAGCAACTCAAGGGTTAACCTTTCTGGGGAAGCACAGACACATCAGCTGCCCTGGAGGCTGGCAGGCTGGAGGTGGAGGTGAGGCCGGAACAAGCTAACTTTCTAACTACCCTCCCAACTCTCGACTCACGGGACCCCTACGGGCAGACTGGGGAGCATCGGGTGAGGATGGACAGAAAAGGCCCAAACAGAAACGCACGTGCATAGCCCCTTTGCTTCTGAATAAAATCCACTACAGAAATCTTGCTGGTATTTTTTCCAAAACATCGTCAAACTTCAATGTTTTAGATTATATACGTCATAATTGTGCCGAATTTTTCTCCATCAAGCATTTTTACAAGTCTTACTTACGTTTGGCTCCATATTGTTACTACTTTAATTTGATTATAAGTTTTGGTCATTGACATTCTGTCGTGTTTCAGAAATCTATCTTTGTTCCTTTTTCTGCAAGCGGTAACTAGTTTAAGCATAGGCGTTAGAAGCCTTTGTCAAACGCGATTCAATGGAAAGGCCGGCAAAGGCAGTACGAACCTTGGCCTCTACTGCCTCCCTGTGGCCGTTTAGCAAACCAACAAGGGCGTGACCACGAATGAAGGCGGGCGTTCGTTTTTCCTTTCAGCTGCTTCAAGTTTGTCTCGGCCGGGCACTCCCGTCGTTTCTGAAGAACAAGAGGCGCGTCGGGAAAGGACGCAACGGGGTGCCTGCAGTGAAGCAAAGGTCCCACCTTGCTCCTACCAATCCCTGCAGATCGCTGAACTCATGGTCTTGCAACAAGGTCAGGAAAGGCCTTGTGACAAAGCTTTGTATAGTCCCTGAAACGCCGCGAGCCCCTTCCTACTATCTCTGGCAGGCACCAAGTGCTTGAAGCCATCAAACACGATTGGGGTGCGGGTGGCTTGCCTGCTGTCATTCACGCTCTCCGTTCTCCCTTCCTGGTAGCACCTCGGTTTGATCACTCATGTGGTATCTTATAATTTGAAACTGGAAAGGTTGTGAAGATCCGCGGGTGCAACCCCCTCACCCTGCAGAGGAAAAGCAGCGTCCGCCCCGCCCCCACCAGCCCCGGAGATGCTGGTGTAACAGGTGTGACCTGTTCTCAGTCACGCAGTTCCCGCTTCGCGCAGGGTCGGCGGGGGCGGGGGCGGGGGCGGGGGGAGGGGAGCCCTGAGCAGGGCAGGTGGGAGCAGCCCAGGTGGGTCTGGAATTCAGGGGGGATGCTTCATTTAGGCTGCAGCTGCAGTCACCTGGGAGGGGGGTTACCAATAGTGACACCTGCCTCCCACCCCCAGGGATTCGGATTGGATTGGTCTGCCCTGTGGGCTCTGGTTTTTTGCCTCTGAGAAGTCCCTGGGGATTCTAAATGTAGCCAAGTCTGAAAACTTCTGCTTCAAGCCCATCCCGCTGAGCAGGCTGGAGCAGGGCCGCCGTCCCGGGAAGACCCCGCCCGGCTGGTGGCGGGTGGTCGGCTCCCACTGTTCATGCAGCGCTCTCTTCCCGCCAGCTGGTTTTTAAAGCATATGAAGAGACTTAATTAGCAACATAGAATATCTGTATCCGAGGCTCTAAGTATTTCACCTT